AAAGAGCAATGAAGGATGCTGTGATTTTGAACAGCCTGGCAATCCAGATTCCCTGGCATCCCAGCTCTCCCCCAACCATCCACCCTGCCTGGTACCCAACTCTCTCTTTCAGCAAAAGGTTTGCTCTTTTTGATCTAGCATCCAATATTGGCAGAGGGATTTCCCTCCACAGGCAGATATCCTGAGTTTGGTTCCCCAGCTGAGCCATGAATGTCCGAGGGGTGCCTGCTTGCTTGTCTCCGCACCAGCCCCTCGCATCAAACTGGCCTCCTTTGGTCCCCATTGCTCTAAGGCCCACATGCCCTTTCTAGCCCAGGGAGAGCAGACTGAGGCAAAGGCTTCTTTTGCCCTTAGTCAAAAGGTTCCAGTGGTGTTTCTCCACCTGGTCCACGTCTTCACAGAACCAATCGTCCCTTCAGGGCGTATTAGATATATTAGATATGCCTCTTTGCACGCTTGACTTTTCAACTGTGGCTGCTCCAAAGAGGACACAGAAGTGCCTCTCTGACCCTGCACAGCTGTTCCAACATCTAGATCGTCCTCAGTATTCAAGACACAGGTTGCTCCCTCCTTAGGATGCAGCCTACTTGGCTCTCTTCCAGCCTTGGCCCACAGAAGAGGAACTAGAGGGAAGCAATCTGGGCACTGAAAAGTGAGAATTGATGCCAAGTGGCAGCAAATGGCGGCAATATGCCAGATCTGCTACCCTCATATCTTCTCTCCTCATCAAGTGCACATCCTCCACTTAGGATGGGAATAAGCCAAAAATCAGGCCAAGAAAAAAGTGCTACCAGATGCTGAGAGTTTTCCCAGGGTGAAAGAGGGGAGATGCCCCGAGAGCAGGCAGGTTGTTGATGGAAGCACAAATCAGAAGTCCTGGGATCAGGCTTGGGGCCATCCTCACAGCCCCCTCTCCTTCCCCAGAATGAACAGTGGCATGTCACCCACTCAAAATGCCACCCCCCAGGCGTTGGCACAACACAGGACAAGGAAAACATACTTTTCTTTGCCAGGGTATGGAAAATAGATGTCGCTCAGAAATTTACACATCAGTAAAATGTTCTCCTTCTCCTTGGCGTTTTAGTTACATCACCAAAGAAATTTCTAAAAGATTATTTCCACTATTCAAAAATTCCTCTGGATCAAAATATTTTTCATGGATGTATAAGATGTCATCTCGCCTTAGAGGTACAAGGTAATTTATTTATTCTGAAATTATTGTGTGTGTGGGGGGGGGATTTTTAAAACTTTTGTTTAGTTTTTTTTGCTTTCTTTCTTGTATTCTTTTAAACAAATCTCTGATGTTTTATTCATGCAGTTTAAATAAATCCATTAAAGTGTTTCTCGGTCTGAAACAATTATGAAATGCCTTGTCACAAAACTCATCCTAGTGCACATCAATACTTTTTTTAAGCAGGCAGGGGCTGATTGGAATTGTAGTACAACAAAACTGGAGCTATTAAATTCTAGACAGCTCCTTTCCTTTCTCCTTAAGGAGAAAACTGAGGTTAGTTTATATCTCTCAAATTTGCAGAATACTTCCTTTCATAACTTGTTCAGTTTTTCTAATTGTTTATGCTCTTTCTCTCAATTTTTCAATACCAATTTGTGTTCTGCTTTTCTCCAACTGTCTGAGGTTAGAATGGGGGCGACTTTTAAAATTTTGGTGGTGCCTTAATTTCTCCTTTATCTAAGAAAGTGGGCATGAATATTTATGGCACTTGAAAGCATAAACAAGTCGAAGATCCTCGAATCCCCGGCAATATTTCTCCTCTTTTCGGAAACCAAGACATGGTATGTAATAATTTATGGAAAAACAGAGGCAGTTCCTTGATTAACAGAAACTCTGGCCATCCAAAGCATCCTTCAGCATCAGGATGGAGCTGGAAGGACCCAAAATAAAGATCCAGCTGTGTCCAACTATTTTCTTCCCCAATTCTGCATCTCTCCAACTAAAGCCAGAAAGATGAGGATGAAGACTATCCTTTAAATAAGAAATTTTAATGGTCTCACTTTCTTACCTGAGTAAGCATAATTAATGCAAAAGGGCATACATTACAGTAAAGTTGGACTGCAATTCTTTCATTTCTGGTGGAAATGAGGAGGCAGCCTTTGCTCCTTCAGAAACATTGTCCCTCTGAGAGTGGAGAAAAGACCTGAGGAAATAGTTACTTCAAAATGCTGGTCCTTCCCTGAAGCCCATTTGAAATTGCCCTCCAAAATTTTTACTCACCAACATGTAGCCATTCCTATTCAAGGAAGTTGATTTCAGGCAGAATTCACTCCAAATGAAACATGCAAATTATTACTGCTCCCTAATGTCAAACCAAACTCTTTTTCCCCTTTCAGGAAGTCCAAGGCAGAAAGAAGAGCAGAAGAAGATTCTTTGATCATGCCATTCCAGAAGCTTTATCTGCATGAAAAGGTCATGCATGACATCAAAGGCCTCCAGCTCCTTCTCACCCATGCACCTACTTCAGGATCAGCCAAGTCAGCAGGTGTTGCAACCTGGTTGAAAGCCAATAAAGGAGGGAGTGGCCATCTACCATTCTTTTTCAAGGATGCAATATTGTATGATCATAGAATCCTAGGGCTGATGATGACCGTGGAGGGTGGGTGGATGTACCTGCAGCTACGGGGCTAACGGTTGCCATCCATTTTGTAACCATCCAACAGAAGAGCAATCCATCTATCCTGGGGCAGCACATGAATAAAATCAATGATTTTCCCTGCAGGTCACTTTCATGGTGAAACTCTAGAACCCCTTCCCCAACCCTGAATTGTTTTTTCTTAAGCCAAAGGACCAAAATGGGTCTTTTTTTTGTCTCCAGATGCAAATGGCTCCAGAGGGCTTTTGCTGCACACTTCTCCAGTGTGAGGCAAGGACAACATATATCCAAGTCTGGTCTCACAACCAATTGTCAATTGGTCAATTTCATTTCTCTCCTTTCTCTAAGGAGCCTCAGAGGTTGCCTGCATTCCCAGCAATTGCAGAACCCAACTGGGTCCTCTAAAGAGATCTGGGCAGCGGTCATCACCAATGGGTCCTTCAGGGTGAGGGATGTGGCCATTATGCCTTAGTGGGCATGCTCATTGTCAGGACAATTACTGCCTCTGGGACTGTTTGCAGGGGAGAAGTGACTGGATGGGAATCCCATGGCAAAAATAAGACAAATGTAATAAGGAAATCACAAACGTACAGACTCCTTTTCCAATCCACCTAAGCTGAAGTCCTCCCCGCCTCTTGCACAGAGAACAAATTGAACCGATAAATACCAGGCACAGTACCAGCAGAGCCAGCAGGAGAGATTATAAGCCCTTTGGAGCAGGGGACCCTGCTCTCATTTCAATCCATTGGGGCTGACACAGTTGATGGGAGAAGGGCGAGACCTGGCTAGTCTCAGAAGGAAATGGGGAGGGGGAGGCGGCTGAAGGCCAGGCTAGGGAATTAGAAAGGAGGAGGTGAAAAGGCAGGCAGGTTTCCCTGAAGCTACCAAGAAAACTGCTTCAGCTGTCCATGAAATGCAAGGAACCCAGCTTTTCCCTCTTCACCCTACAAAATGCCCCACGCACAAATGGCATATTGTAATAAAAATAACCATGAAAATTCCAGAGGACTGGGGTGAAAGGCTGGGGTGGGGTGGAAGCAAAGGATGCTTTCAGAAGCATCCAGGAACTGGTACCACCAGCAGCTCCCCCCCCCCTTCTCCCTGCCATGATCCCTGATCTATGCTGGGTAGGGAGGATCTCTGTCCAGCTCCAGCTGTGGCTGCTGATCCTGGGCAGGCAAGCGCAGCGGGAGGGGGATCTTACGCTCCTTCTTTGGGCAGTTCCACCGGCAGGGGGGAGATGAGGATGCCCCCCCCCGCGGGTTCTCCCCATCTGCCAGCAGGCAGCACACGGCTACAAGCGGCGCTGATGGGGCTCTCCCTCACCTGCTCTTCCAGGGGATGGCTGCCCAGGAGCAGGGAAGGGGCAGCCCATTGCAGCTGGAGTCGCCCCCGGTGGGGCGGATTAGCACGCATCTCTTTGTGTGCTGTGGAAATCGCTGCTCGTCCCGGCCCCCAGTTCAACTTTCCACCCATCCCCAGGACAGGCAGCCGTAGCAGAGTCCCCGCGGAGGGCGGCAGATCTCCCCAACCCTCCTGCCCCAGGGATCTCTGCAAAGGCGTCCCCCCCCCGCAGTCCCCGGGGGACAGCCGGCCACCCGCTTCCTCTCGGGCAGGGGCAACGGCGGCCAACGCCAGTCGGGCACCTTGCGAGGCGCCGCTCCCGCCCCTTCGGCCGGTGTGGCGGCGGAGGTGGGCAGTCGGGGGTCTCCCGCCCTCCGCAAAGGGCGACCCCCATTCCTTGCGCTGCTTCCCGCAGCGATCCTAGGAAAGCGTTTTCCCCAACCAAGGCCGGGGAGGGGTATCGGGGGACGGGAGGGGGACGGAGTTTGGAGCACGCTGCCTCTTTCGCGCGCTCCGACGGGGCCATCCCCGGGTAAAGGGGCCCCCCGCCAACTGCAGCTCCTCCTGGCCGGTGTGCCGAGAGCAGAGCGCGCCGCCTCCCCGCGCGATCTACCTGACCAAGGCTGGGATATCCCGATGATCGCGACGGCTGCTAAGCGAGCGCCAGCCACTCTTGCCGCATCTTCCGCCGCCTCCTTACAACCGCTGGAGCCGGAGCCGCACGCGCTGCCCGCCCGGGCTGCTGGGCGGGGGCGAAAAGGAGGGGCTCGCGCAAAAGCGGGAAGGGGGGAGGATGTCCCTGCAGCTCCCCCCGGCGGGGCTCCCCGGAATCTCCCCTCCCGCCAAGCCCGGTCCCGCCCAGGGAGTTCCGAGCCCGCAGACCTCCCCCCCCCCGAGCGCCCCTCTCCCTGCGGGCTGAGGTGGTACAGTCCGGCGGGAACGGAGCGCCCCCCCCATGACTCCGGGGAAGACTTGCCCTCGTCCCCACCTCCCCACCTCCGCGCGCCTGCCGTGGGTTCGGCCGCCGGCAGCCCTTCCCTCGCTCACGGGTGGCCGGAGGCGGAAGGCCAAGGGAGCGCGAAGGGTCGGGCAGGAGGCGCGCCGGGTCCTGGCAAAAGAAGCTGCAGCTCAGAGGGTACGACGTCCTTCCCCGCCGGCCAAAGAGGCTCCTTCGCCGGATCCCGCCCGCCGGCCCCCACGGCCCTTGGCCAGGCTCTCCGGACGGGCCCCGAGTGAGTCCGTGGAGGATTCGGCGCTACTGCCGGTGGCGCTAGCCGCTTGGTCCGCCCGGGATGGCTGCCTTCCCCTCGCCCGACGTCGGCAGTGAGGGTGGCTTCCCGGGAAGGGCCGGTGGCGCTGCGTAGTAGGCGGCTGTCGATTAACGCTAAAACGGGAGTAAAACGCCACCACTAGAAACAGCTGAAATGGAGAAAAATCCCGTCTATCCAGCAACCGACTCCAGAAGCGACGTTTTATCACTTGCAGGGGCCAGCAAAGTTGGGGTACGTCCCAAAGGGCAGCGCAGGCCCTCCGGAGTCCGGCCAGGTGGGTTCTTTTACAGGGGGCACCTGGCTCTTGCCTCATCTGCCCCTACAGGTAGGCACCAGTTGGAGAGAGGGTCCGGAGCCATGAAGGCTTTCCATGTAACAGCCAGCCCCTTGAATTGCACCTGGAAGCCCAGAGCAGAGGGGTCCCTGAGTGGCTTCCCCTCCGCCTTTTGCATAAAGTGACTATAGACCTTGAATTGCAATCAGAATTGGGACCAGAATGTCTGTTGCTAAATGATGTGGTCATTGTGAGTCATACCTGATTTTATTACCTTTTTTGCCACAGTTGTTAAGTGAATCGCTGCTGTCTTAAGCAAATCAGTTGGTCACCTTTTGGACATGATCAAGTTTTGATCATGTGACTGCAAGGATGCTGTGATGGTCATGTAAGGACAGGCTGTAAGTCACTGTTTTCAGGGCATTCATAACTTCAAATGAATCCACACAAATGATGAAACATGGGACAAAACTCTCTTAACTTGCTTAGCAATGGAAATTTCAGACTCAATTATGGTAATAGGTCAAGGACTACCTGTAGTTTTGTAGTCATCATTAAACTTCAGAATATGGAACAATTGGAATTTAATTCCACTCACCCTTTTCTCACTCACCTTATTTTGATCCGCATCAATCCTGTCAGGATGATGATAGTCCAAGCAGACTTTCTAAATAACCTGTTCAAAAAAAAAATCTACAGGTGTTCTGCCAGGTGACCAGGCAGGAAAGGCTGGTTGTGATGGTATAAATTTAAGCATAGACATCCTTTTGTTCCTCTCCTTTTTCTATTTCCCAGAAGAGCCTGGGTGTTTGTGTGCCAGGCAAGGGGGGCCCTTGGTGGTGAATTTGTTTGAAACCTAGCAAAAGTCTTGGATGTTTTAGTGGCAGTGTTTATAACTTGGAAAAATGGTGCAATGTGAAGAAGAAAAGGAATTAACATTGCAAAAAATTATGTTAGAAATCCAAAAAGTCTGAATAATCACAGAGAGAATTGAAAAGAGGCTTGAAATTGTAGATCAAAATACAGAAAGCACAGAGGGAAGAGTTGAGAATACTTATAAAACAATGATGAAATTTTTTTTTGTATATGTGTGTA